AGAGAGAGAGAGAGAGAGAGAGAGAGAGAGAGAGAGAGAGAGAGAGAGAGAGAGAGAGAGAGAGAGAGAGAGAGCTTGGTGACATTTGGATCCAGACTCGACATTGGACTTCAGACATTTCGAAGAGGGATTATTTGGGACTTGTAACGAGACTTGGTGTTGACGACTTCCCATCTCCCCCCTTCCTCTTCTTCGTCTGATCCCCTCCTCTTCGTGTATGTCTGGACCTGGTGCCTCTTTCCTGTGTATAGCGCCAGGCCCCTTCACACCTTGTGATAAGCATGATGTATGTTTGGTCTGCGTTGAAACATTGATTGGGCTAGTCATTAGTATTCTAGCATTCTGCTTCGCTATCTTGTACTACGTGAAAGAGGTCAGTCCCGGTCAGGTCAGGACTCGTATCTAGAGTCTTCCCTGCGCTATAAAGCACCATTTTGTATGTATCGGAATGCACATTGCTTGTTGAGATTCCACTTGCACTGCATTGTCCATTCAGTCCTTTTTATCACATTGCGGATCCTCAGTTTGTATGTACATCGCCCAACTGGGCATGTAACAGTTGGTATCGGAACACCGCACGTGAATCAGGACAACCTGATCTGACACGTGTGCGGGGACTAGGTAGCTGATTAGTCTTGATTGATTGATTAGAGCACACTAGTTAGCCCCAAAATCACGATTTTGACCTCACTGCCGAAAATCGAATTTGTTTTTCTTTTCTGGGATTTCGTTTTCTCGCTATTTCTGTTGTGGAAAATCGCAATAGCGCAACATCTGAAATTTCCGTTTTCGTTTTTCTTTCTGAAAATCCGAAATATCGTTGTTGGAAATCCGGAATATCTTTTTCTCGAAAATTTCGATCTCCTTTTGCAATTTCCCGTTATTCAGAAATTCGCAATATTTTTCTTCCGAAATCCGTTTTTTTTTAAAAACGGTACGGGAAATCCCTCTTGCATTACCATTTTCCAAACTGCGAAATAGTCTCATCTCAGTAAATCCTAAGACTTGTTATTTCTTTTCGAAAAAAAATTTTCGCAGTTCTATGTTCATTGGCAGTCTGAAGTTCGGATTTTTTTTCTCATTGATATTTTCGCACTTCAAGGGAGGTTGGGAGACCTACTGAACTTGCAAATCTCTGGATTTTTTTTTTTCGAATTTTTTTTTGCAGTTCAAACTTTTCTTTTTTGATTAGTGGATCCTTATCTGGACGTTATCTGGGCGATTATCCCACCCACCCCTCCCAACCTATATTGTTGCCCCCCTCTGGTCTTACCTTCTCTATCGGTCTCCGGGTACCCCCTGCGGCAGCATTGGTGAGTTGCCACATCAGAAGGCCATGTCAGCAGGCCACGTCAGCGAGCCATGTCAGCAGGACATGTCAGCAGGCCACGTCAGCCGACAGCAGTGCCACATCAGCAGGCCCCCGGCCTGGTCTATGCTTTTGCGCTCGCAAACAGCTGTCATGGACGAGAAGTCCGGGGAAACAGACGAGGCCTATCAGGCCTGAATGCTGGCCTGGAGTACCGAAACCAAGAAACGCGCGGATGACGTAGCGACCGCAGCGAAGAAGAAGGCAGAGGACGCCGAGAAGGCACGTCTGCTGGCAATTGAACAGCAGCGCCAGCACGACGAGGCAGCAGCAAAGGCTGCCGATGAAGAACGGGTTCAACGTCGTGAGAAGATATTAGCGGAGAGCAAGTGTTGCTCACAATGGCAGCGGATTGGCAGGCCGAGGCTGAGAATGGTGAGATGGAAGATAGCGAAAACAAGATCGCTCTACTCCTCTCCCATCTCACGGACCTCCTGGCAACATGCATTACACAGCAGGAGGACATCCACAGCCTCGACGACGCGCTGACTCAAGTCCACGGCCGCCTCCGGCAGCTGGAGCAGCGATCTTTCACCGCCCCCGATGCTAGCTCTTCCAACACCTCCGATCGCCTCGAGGCATTGGAGATGGACGTCGGCTCCCTCAAGGACGACGTGCAGTTACAGCAAACCGCAACGCAATAGTTGGAGCAACGGATCTATACTGCCGCCAACAACTCGAGTTCGAAACCGCGCGAGACAGCTCCAAAGTTCGACGGCCAGGAGCTCTTCTGCGAGTCGACGAAGACAGATCCGATTCCATGGTTCCGCAAGTTCGAGCTCACGCTGCAGCTACACTACGTCAAAGAACACAAGCACCACGCGTACTTATACTCCCGGTCGGGGGGCGCGTGCCAAGCATGGTTGGACAATCTCTTGTCCAAGTACGGGGTGGTAGCTGCCGACTTGCATACCAAGATCAGCTGGGATGATCTGAAGGCGACGTGGCACAAACGGTTCCAAGTAGAGCCGCCGGAGATCAAGGCAATGGACAAGCTAATGGTCTTCGAACAAGGCACGCTGCCGAGTGTCGACTGGATTGCCGAGTACCAATGCTTGACATCGGTCCTAGACATCCAATTGGGCTTCAAAGCCATCCGCCACTATTTTATCTCAAGGTCGTGTCTGGCATTGAGCAATGCCTTGACTCACGTCGAGGACACCCTGACGACAACGGCGGAACTATTTGACAAGGCCGCGCAGATTATTGTCACGAACAAGGAGGCTAAGAACCTGCGTTCGTCTGCGACAGGCCCGAGAAGAGATCAGCATCGGCCGAATGTGGTCGTGGTCGCAGCGGCAACGCCGTTTGACCAAACTAGCGAGGCCATGTTTGCCAATGAAGGGGACTGACTCGCAGCCGCTCGGGAAGGTGGCCGCCCCGGCAAAGGCCGAGGACGCGGCAAGGCGAAGACAAACACCGCATCTAGCCCCGGGCCCGACGCAGCAGCTCCAGCCCCATGGTCCCAATACAGTGTCTCCGAGCAAGCATTCAAAGCGCGCACGAGATTTCACTATTGCCTATGGTGCAACAGCGATCTCCATGAGACAGTGGTCTGCCCGTCAAAAGGCAATGGCAAATCGGGAAACTGAGCACCGCCGGGAGTGACTCGACGACACTCTCGACGCCTTCGGAACCGGTCACTTCGCGGTTGACCGCCCTTCGTTCCAAGGCACATGCGGAAGTCGATAGTCCTCCTCTTCTTTATTCTTTCGAGGACTACGCTGCCCGGCTCGTTCCTACGCTGGGTACTCAAGCTCAAGGACAAGACGTGTGTGCGGCATCTTCGCTGTCCGGCAGCGGCGACTTATCGTCTTCAAGTGGTTCTTCACAGGATCAGCGCGCGAGTTCAACATAGAGGTATACCGCTCACGTCCGGGGACTTTGCATGGCTTCCTCTCCCGACCACGGGCTGCTTGCCGGGACCGCAATGCGCAGCACTATGCGCTCATCTTCACACCTACTTATCCTTCTATGCACCACCACCTTCGCCGACGGATGACGAAGTCGCGGTGGGGGACATCCTTGCGTATGTTACCAAGGTGGCCCGCGAGTTTCACAATCAGCGGTATGATGACAACAACGCACCGCTCCTCTATTTCTGCACCCAAGTTGGGCAAGCGTCCTACAGCGCTTTGCTGGATAGCGGCGCGTCTCGTAATTTTATGAGCCAAGCCTTTATGCAAAGGGCTGGCCTTGGTGCACAAGTTTGAAGGAAGGCAAACCCGACGGCGATCAAGTTGGCGGACAAAAGGACGCAGCAACTTATCGACCGCTACATCGAGGCTATACCGGTGTATTTCGCACCTCATGCATGCGAACCGGTGACATTTGAAATTTTGGACACGGACTTCAATATTATTTTGGGAATGCCTTGGCTTGCAAGTGCGGATCACACGGTCAACTTCCACCGGCGAACTCTTACCGTTCGCGACGCCTTCGGCGCCGAAGTGGCGTGTACTATTTGTGCTTACGAGCAGCCCGACGAAATCGGCCTTTGTTTCCTACGGACCGTCGCGGTAGCCGACTCTTCACCCATGGACTTGTCTTCGGACCCCCGTGTGGTGCGGTTGCTTGACGAGTTCGCCACATCTTCGAGTCACCTACCGGTGTGGTGCCGGATCGGCCAATCTCTCACGAGATCATTCTCGAGGCCGGTGCCGTGCCGCCGAAAGGTTGCATTTATCGCATGAGCAAGGAGGAGTCCTCCGCTCGCAACTCGATGATTTGTTGGACAAGGGCTGGACCCGCCCTAGTAGCTCTCCATACGGAGCGCCAGTTCTCTTCGTACGGAAGAATAGCAAAGATCTACGATTGTGTATTGACTACCGCAAGCTCAACGTGCAAACCGTCAAGAATGCGAGGCCTCTTCCTTGCATCGACGATCTTCTTGAGCGATTGGGTGACGCAAAGTATTTTTCTAAGTTGGATTTGAAGTCAGGATATCATCAAATCTCGATCCGACTGAACGATCGCTACAAATCCGCGTTCAAGATGCGGTACAAGCATTTTGAGTGGGTGGTCATGCCTTTTGGCCTCACCAACGCCCCGACGACCTTTCAAGCGACAATGACCAACGAGTTTCGTGCAATGTTGGACCGGTTCGTGCTGGTCTACTTAGACGATATTCTCGTCTATAGCCGGACATTGGAGGATCATCTTGGGTATCTTCGACGAGTGTTGGAGACGCTCCGCCGCGCCAAGTACAAGGCCAACCGCGAGAAGTGTGAATTTGTCCAGCAACAGCTAGAATACTTGGGCCATTTTGTCACACCGGAGGGCATCAATCCGCTATCGGACAAGATTCAAGCCATCCAAGAGTGGTCGGAGCCACGGAATGTCACGGATGTCCGTTCGTTCCTTGGCCTCGCCGGCTACTACCAGCATTTCATCAAGGTCGCGGCCCACTTGACCAAGCTTCAATGCGAGGACCGGCCGTTTGACTTCGGAGAGGATGCGCAGGAATTATTTTTGGCTCTCAAAGCCGCACTATTATCTGCGGAGGTCTTGCGCATATACGACCCGCTTTTGCCTACACGCGTCACTACGGATGCGTCCGGCTATGGCATTGGTGTCGTCCTCCAACAACATGATGGTGTGGACTAGCACCCGGTCGAGAATTCAAGCAAGGAAGTGTCCGTCGCGCATTCCATTCACGATGCACGCAAGAAGGAGCTCCTCGCCTTCGTCCACGCGCTCAAGCGGTGGTGGCACTTCCTTCTTGGTCGAAGCCAATTCCGATGGGTAACGGACAACAATCCGTTGGTCTTTTACAAGACCCAAGACACCGTCAACAGCACCATCGCTCGATGGATGGCTTTCATCGACCAGTTCGACTTCTTTCCCGATCACATTCCGAGGAAGTCGAACCGTTTTGCGGATGCTCTTTCACGGTGTCCTGATCATTGTACCGCGTTCTACTCAACCTTCGAGATCGACAACGACCTGCGGGACAACTTCATCCGCGGCTACGAAGCCGACCTCGAGTTTCGCGACAAGTACGCGAATTGCTCCTCTCCTAATCCGGCGCCTTCTCACTACCGGATCCAAAAGGGGTACTTGCTTGTCCACACACGGGGGAAGGACCTTCTTTGCGTACCGAGTGACCCTCACTTGCGTACACGGCTTCTTGGCGACTTCCACGATGCTCCCGCCACCGGACACTTTGGAGTCAATCACACGATTGGCCGACCTCGCGAGCGATTTTGGTGGCCCGGCATTCTCGACGACGTCACACGCTATTGCGAGTCATGCGAGGTTTGTCGACGCTGCGATTCCCGCAACCATCGTCCGTACGGCGAGTTACAACCATTACCGGTCCCTTTGAGGCGAAGGGAAGCGATTGCCATGGACATTACCGGCCCGTTCCCCAAGCACAAGACCGGAGTGGATAAGATTCTCACGGTGGTCGACCAACTCACCAAGTTCACCATGTTTTTGCCTTGCCGCTATCATGCCAAGGCACTGGAGTTGGCCGAGGTTCTTTACGCCGGTTGGATTCGAACCAAGGGTTGCCCCAAGGAAATCGTCTGCGACCGCGACACTCTGTTCATGTCCGATTTTTGGTTGGCACTCATCAAACGATGGGGCTCATCTCTCAAGCCAAGTTTGGCTCGCCACCCCCAAACCGATGGCCAAATGGAGAGGGCGCACCAGACTGCACAGGTTCTCCTTCGCACTCTCATCCATCCCGACCAAAAGGATTGGGTCGAGCGGCTGCCGTATGTTGAGTTGGCCTACAACTCGTCCATCCACCCGGCTATCGGGATGTCGCCCTTCGAGTTCGAGCACGGCTCGCCGGTCACTTCGTCGTTGGACACCATCATTCCACGAACGGTCGAGAACGATGACCATCTTCTTTTCTTGGGACGGATGCAAGAGCTACTTGTCAAGGCACGCGACCAGATGGCCAAGACGCAGCAACGCATGAGCCAACAGGCCAATCGTCAGCGTCTTCCTTGCCCATTCTGCGTCGGCGATCTCGTTTGGGTCTCCGCCGCAGAATTCAGCCTTGAACAAGATATCTCTCGCAAGCTCCTCCCAAAATGGATGGGGCCTTGGCCGATCGTGGCACCCGCTGGGGATGCACCCGAGGGACCTCCCTTCACCATTCAGGTGCCCGCCCGCTTGCCCGTCTACCCAGTCTTTCATTGCTCCAAGTTGGCTCTTTACACGCCAGCGAAACATGACGATTTTCCCGGGCGACGATCGCAAGACCCACCCTCTATGGACGGTTTTCAAAAGGTCGGCGACATCATCTCCCAGCGACGCTACGGCAACATGCCAACCAAGTGCTTGGTACATTTTGCATACTGCACACACTGAGCTGACCGTTGGTTGACCCGTGCGGAACTTCAAGCAACAACTCTAGATGATCTCGCACGCTACGAACGCAAGATGCAAGGCAAGTCGGTCTCTTCGGCTCCACACCGCGCCCGCGTCCAGGTTCCACCTTCAGATCGTCAACTTCACCCTCGCCCCGGCTTGACTTCATAAGGAGGGGGGGGTGTTACATGGTGCGCCTGCACACGAAGGCCATTTTCCAAGCCCTGCGTCCCTCAGGCTGAAAGCCTGAAATTCAGGCTGAAAACCAGGGCCTACAGGCCCCGTGTCCATTCAGCTCGAAAGCCTGAAAAATAGGGGCCTACAGATCCTGTGTCGTTTCAAACTAAAAATGCCAGTAGCCTTTTTAGCCTGAAACGAAGGGCCATTTTCGGTCTTTCATCAGACCGACCTGCCCTGAAACTCATGCACCAAACCAGGGTTTTAGGAACAGGCTATTTTTGGCCTGTTCCCACGACAGCTGCAGGGGCAGGCCCTGGCTCAGTTCGGCACTGGCAAGGGCAGCCTTCTGGACTGCCTGCCCTGCAACTGCAAGCAGTCGGAGGCAGTCAGGAGGCAGGCCGAGGTAGTACATAGGGACTTCCCATGCACTTCACGGGTAGGCAAGAGGCAGTCAATAGTCTTTAGGATTCGGCAGCAGCACTCTGGAGGAGTGCTACAGGAGTAGTGGTAGCGTTAGCAGTAGTCCTCAGCGCTGGGCGCTACTACCGCTAGTTGTAGTCTTCAGCGTTGGGCGCCATAGTTAGAGTAGTACTAGAGAGAGAGAGATTGGGCGGAGGCCAGGGATACTTACCTGCAGCATCGTTGCTCCAGCTTCGTCTTCGAGGTACCTGCAGCATAGCGCCATCTTCACAGGTTAGTACCTGATACATGAGAGAGAGAGTTCGTCTTCTTCCTCTTCTCAGTCCACCATCTCCTTCTCACGCTCTCGCTGTCTGACTTCACTGCATCAGCAGACTACGAGAGAGAGAGAGAGAGAGAGAGAGAGAGAGAGAGAGAGAGAGAGAGAGAGAGAGAGAGAGAGAGAGA